ATTACCTTTCAACCATCCGCTACAAACCACACGGTCACTATAAACCTGAACATCCAGCGGAGTGGAATGAGAAAAAGTCTTAAAGAACAGACGGAAAAGGAGATAAAAGAAAAGAAAGCTAGCGCGTAATGATGGTAAAGATTTACGAGCAAAAAATTCTCTGCACTGTAATATGAGCGTGTATTTTAAACGACACTGAAACCACTGCAGGTATATAAAAATAACTACCTATAAAAAAAGGAAACAATTTCGGGAACGTTTATCATCCTCAATTAAGATTTTCAAGAGGTAAAAGATTTAAACAAACACATAACACTTTTAACATTTTTACGAGTACGTTCAAATTTCTTCGATGTTTATTGCAATAAAAGTTCACAGAGAAAATAAAATAAATTTAATTACGTACAGATCTGTTTTATCCAATTTATAATAAAATTTATACGGCAAATAAATAAAATTTCTAAGGATGCTAAAGCCTATTTCAAGCACTCATTCATCAATTCAGTTATATATGACAGGATTGATGATAACTGTATTTAAAACCATAATTTTTCCAACTATATCATTTATCAATATACTAGCACATATCTGTGCCTGCTATCTTCTACACCAAATAATTAAATTGATAATTATTTCTTGCTATTATCATTTTATCTCTATTCATTGTTAATATTATTTTTAATTTGATTAATACGTTAATTTTTTGCTTATGCATTTTTTCAACATATTGAATTTGCTTTCCTTACCATCAGAAATTTCATTTTTTAATAAATATAAAAAAAAATTCGTTGTAAATCTTTAAACAAATGACGTGGCCATTTATTGATGATGGCCAAAGAAGTCTCTCATGATTAAAAAGGATTGAATTTCATAACATGTATTTTCATGCAAATTTGATTTATTCCATTGCGCTCTTTCGCAAAACGTCGCGACATGAAGCACGAGGTAATTTCAAAGCAACATCAGTGAACTCTTATGTATTCTCATTTTTTTTCCAATATGCATATTCGCGCGACACGAGAAAGTACTTCGATTCAAAAGATTTATAAATACAGTTTATATTTTTGAGAAAAGAAAGATTTTCTTGCTTGTCGTTGCTGTTTTATTGTAGCTATTATAAGAGACAGTCGACAGTCGTTGAAATAACGGTGAGTTAAACCTGGATGTGTTCGGATATCAGATTAAATTGGACTGAGTCAAAATCCCTAAAATAATAAGCTGCTACCTGAGTATATGTGTGTGAATAACTGAGATTAATATACAGACAATTTCTTCTAAAGTAATTAGATTGTGATAAATTCTGTACAATTGAATTGTGTAATAAAATAATTTAAAAAAAACGCTTTTATAATTCCGATAATTGTGCAAAAATAGGATAGAAAGCTACAGCGTAGCTCAATATTTCTCGACTGTAGCGCGCGGTTTCCGATGCCAAACGACTGTCGCAATTTCAGTAATAGCCAATGAGCCGAAAATTAGGACGATTCACGTATATTCTAGTGTAGAAACGAGCGTGAATATTCACAATGTTGACGATCGACCCGGAATAATCCGCGCCGGTCAGAATTGTTGGAGTACATTTGCGAATAACGCGTACTGTGAATAACGCCGAGCGCGGATATATCGTGATCGAACATCGAAATGTATCGAGATGACGAGCACGTTTATGTGTAAAAATATTTATACACATTTTTCACATGCATGCGCATCTCGATATTTCACTTTACTTCTTCCAGTGCAGATTCATCGTTTACGTTATTCTCTAAGTGTTTATTTATTTCCTGAAAATATTACGAAAAATGTACGCACGAGTGTTTCAGTCTACACACCAAAATTGATGCTTTTTAAAGTTCTTTCGTAATGAGTTTGCCAATTACGATGAGTGTAACGATAGATCAAGTGATCCATCAATTTGTAAGTTTTGCCGAGAATACTTCTTCGAGCACGACAGTTAGCAACTCTATCTTTACTTTCTCAATTGATAAAATACTTCAAGCGCAAAATATTAAAGGGTGTATAAAGCAAACGAAAGGAATTCGTTTTAATCAATATCAGACATACCGTTATGCAATAACGTATTGACCGAGAAAAAGAGAAAAAGAGAAGCAGGGGGTGAGAAAAAAAGAGAGAGAGAGATAAACAAAAAATAAAGTTATATTAAGCGAATTGGAAAAATTGACATTTATATAATTTTAATTAAATTTACCTCCGAATTTTATTCATGCGTATAACTGTTAAAATGACTATTAATATTTCCGTTTTTTCTCAAATCAATCTATTAAATACTAAATAAAATGCTCAATGAACATGATATCATAAAAATCGAAAACTTCATACATTTGTTACAGACAAAGAATAAAATCATTTATGCTTTTTATCAATTCGATTCTCGTTGCAATAAAACTTTGTTAAATTATCTTTGCTTTAATTATTACAATAATTTATTATAATTATATATTATGTATCTTTAATCTTTAATTAATCATTTAATTAATCATGAAAAATCAGAAAAAATAGTAAATGAGTTTAGATCAATAAAGTGTATAACACAAGATAAATAAAAACAAAACAATCATCAAGGAATCTTACGTCTAATATTTGTAATATTATGTTTAATATTTGGAATAAATAATATTCCATTATTAAATAATCAATTTAATATACTAATGCTAATAAGCATCTTACATAAATGATATATCGACTTGTTAACTATTTTATAAACTTTACAAGAAATTTGTTAAAAATGTCCATTAAAAATGACTAACTATCAAATCTACAAAATCTACTACCACAGAATGTAATTTTCTGGTTTTTTAAGATGCAAATTAGCATCGTATATTTATTCGCCGATGATTGTTTTGTCAAAAAGTAGTAAATTTTATTTTTTTGTAATTTATTTTCATGAGCATTTTATTTTATCATAAGATTTTAAATAGATTTTAAGTAACATTTTGTCAATCCAATTGAATTACTAAAATAGCAAAATATATTAAATAAATCATCGCACTAACACAGCAGTGTCCACTATTAGAACGTTTATCCTACAGCATTTCAAGTTTATCGGTCCGTTCATGTGAACGCCAGTCATAAGAAATATTTCTCCATCGTCGTTCACTCTCTTTCTTTTTCTCTCATATTGCGCCCGTCGATTCGCGTCTCGGCCTATCTCACTTCTGGAGACCATAATCTTGAAAAAGGGAGCATGCATTATCGTGTGCGCAGATCCATGAAAATAAGGTCTCGTCTTTCAGCGCAAAGCAGAACGTACGAAAATCGAAAAAAGATGCGAGCAACATCATTCATGATGGCTAGTCCAGTATGTGTTGATACGCTTCCCTTTTGTGTGTGTGTGTGTGTGTGTGTGTGTGTGTGTATTTGTATGTATGTATATGCACTCTTACATTCTTATATTAACTTGTTCTTATTCACCACCTTGTGTATTTGTATGTATTTGTACTATTTCTACATCCTTATGCTAACTTGTTGTCATTCACCACCTTTTACTGTTCATGAGTTTCATGAACCGAATGTATACGTCTTCTAACAAAGGGTAAATTTGTTTCCATTGATTTGTTGGTGCTTCACGCGCGGAAAGCGTTTCTATCGCAATTTCTTCCACCGTCATGGTTGAGCACGGAAAAAGAATAGAAGAAGAAAAATGAAACCCCGAAAGAAAAGGAGAACGCGAAACCCTCAGGAAAGAATTGCTCGCCTCCTCACTCTTTCGATATTCGCCGCGACACTTAAGCCTTCGGCAAACATTTACACTAGCTATGTATAGAAATAAGAGTGAGTTTCATCGGTAAACACTTCCAAGCCACGTGTGCAAACGAGAAGCTGAAGAACGACGTTCTTCGAGTGTAAAATTGTAGAGGCGGCAAGTTAATTTCTTATGCAGGCGAAGATTTCGTGTCTGAAATGCTTCGAAATACAGATTTCAGCATTCAAACTGCAGTTTGTATTGTATAAATGTGCTTACGTGACTAAAACATAAAACGTTTTAATTGGATGTAAATTATATATACATGTACATTTCTTCCGATATGTGTTGCATATACTCGTAATCGAAATAAGATGATATATAGAGCTATAATAAATTATGCTACAAATTTTAAATTTTAAAAATAATGCGTTCTTTTAAAATTATCCAGGTATTATATTGAAAATTATTTTAAAGCAAAATATAACAAATTTTAATTTGATTTACTTTTGTAACCGTAAATCAATGGCAAACAACATAAGAACGGCAGATTCAACAGGTGTTATGCAGTGAAATTGCATGGAGTATAAAGTTCAAACAATAAGAAAAACAAGAGCGAAAATACAACGGACTTGCTGTAAGCCGTGTTACAAGAATTTCATTAAATTCGGCTTCGTTCCATAGTATATCGCTGTGTGATATTAGCTAACAAAACACGATTAAACGCATCACAAATAAAATTTTAATTTTAGTTAATTTTATATCAGGTATACGGCGGCGTAAAGTCAGTCACACTACATATATAAAATTTATCGATAAAAATTTAATAACATGTATATTATTTATGTAAAATAACACATTCAATGAATAAAGAACTATAGGTTCAATATTGATATAAATGAACAATTAAACGAAATATTTGAATTATTTACGCCATTAATTTTTGTATATGCGAATTGCGTCTGCGAGTATCGACCGGATATTCATATCGTATTCGCATATATCGCATCTTTTATTGATTAAACCTCTCCCTGTTCGCGCAACACAAAACGAATTATTACCGTATAATGATTAATTGACCAGTATATTCAATGCAATGATGAAAATATTGATGGCCCGAACAAAACAATATCATTATTATATTAACGCGAACTCACACCTACCTTTGTCAACAACAAAATTTCATCGACATAGAGCTCTCGTTGATAAAAGCATCATTAAGCTAATTAATTTGTTAATTTAAAATATTACTTTTAAATAAATTACAAACAGAATTGTGTCACGTTATTATGTATTCCAGGTTCAATAAGCAACATAGATGGTGCGGAATATCACTGCAACAAAACTGCCGTGCGAAAGGTAATCAGTGGGGTTGTTGGTGCAGCGAGTTCAGTAACTTCGATTCAGGTTGCCAATCTCCTACGATTGTTTAAAATTCCGCAAGTAAGTAAACCTTTAAATCTCCTCGTATAACATCTTGATGACTGTGCTATATTACGTGAAAATTATTCTTTCTCGGAATTCTTTTTCAAACAATTCTTTCTCGAGAGCAGAATTCTTTCACAAGCGTTTTTACTACGATGTTTAATATTCGTCTGTATTATGACGTGCAAATTTCGTATGTGTATTTTTCCCTCATTGAATAAAGTAAAAAAATACTGCCAAAAACATAAATTACAAATTGGTTATTTGCATAAAACTCTTTACGCACATAATATTGTAGATTATTTACATGACGCGAACGTAGAAAAAGAAATAATGCATTTGCAAAATAATTTAAATTTATAAAAGATACAAAAACTGTAAAATATGAATTTGTTTTCAAAAATTAATAAAATAAAATAGTAAGTGGATAGAGAAAAAAAAATATGATAACGTGTTTTTTACACTTTTTATGCTCTACCGCAAAGATTTGAAGCTATAGACAATCCTTACTTTTCGAGGCTCGAGGATGAAAATGCCAGGTTAGGTGGCAGTAAACCGTGAAAACTTCATTCTTGACGAAAGTTTACAGAACCTGCGGTTTAAAATCTTCGTACCGTGAAATCACCTCATCCAACGCTACTTTCCTTATAAGCCATTCGAGGCTCTTGGCCCGTTTTATCTCTCAGCGCTCTATTAGGTTGAGGTTTAAAGGGTGTTACTATAACGCGTTAACCGTCCAGCCGCGAAAGAGCCATATTGCTATTAAACTTTTACTAACTCCCTGTTATTCCGATATTTGTCGTCGACTGAAGATAAATGAAAATGAAACGCCACAGTGCGTAATTCCTTACAATCTGACAACGAAGTAAAACTCAACGGTCATTTTTTTAAGCAGTAGTATAATCAGATTAAAAAGAAAAGGGAAATACCTTTCACTGTTATAACTTTATTTTATTGTTATTTTACAATTTAATATATCTTTCTAAAATACGGTATACCCTGTCTTTAATGCAATTAGAAAGCTCTTAAAATATCTTAAATCATTTAAATCATCTCTTCCTCGATATTGATGTAGATTCATCTAATAACGCTTCTATAGGCATATATTCATTACAACGCAACTCGAGAACAAGCTTGAACTTGTTGATCATCGAATAGGATACTCGAATCGTGAGGTTCTGTGCGCAGTAACTTTGTAATAATAGTTCATCTAAAGCTCCTTCACTCAAAGTACCAATAGTCGATGGTGTGTGAGTTAGGAGATTAACCTGTTTATATCGTCCACATTGTCAGGATCTCATTTTACGATGTCGGGTTTCTCGCCGTGATAGATATACGTATATGGTGGAGGTCGAACGCGATAATATGTGCATTTACATGCAAACTTATGAAGATCGCATTAAGAAAGGATCGAAACAGCAATTTACTATGACAAGAGGTGATAATGATCCTGAACCTCGCGTCGAGTAGGAATACCGTGACGCGATCAATAGTGAAATACCTAAATGATTCACATCAAAGACGCGTGCGCCAAAAACACTTTGCATATACGCTTCAATCATAAACCGAATATTAACGGGCTTCTTCTTCTTCTTCTTCTTCGTTAGTTTACCGATTAAAGTTCTTGGTGCATTATATACAAAAACTAGGAGCGTATTGTATAACTCCGGTAATAATACGCCCCCGTACGAAACGGCTCGTATACAATGCTTTCTTTCGCGACGACTCAGGTGTCTGTGGCAAGGAGCGATCCTTCGCGGAGACTCGGCTGTCACCGATTCATGCCTCTCAAGATCCACGGCGGCGGAGTTTGAAAGAGATTTCGCGAGGATTGCAGGGAAAACGTGAAAGGATCAGGCGGAATATAAGTCTAGGGAAACGGCGGCGGATTTAATTTCAGTCCATAATTCTTTCGGTAGGATTTCTATCCATTTCTACGATAGGGCGTAAGTTTGCGAAACAGATCCGCAACATCGCGATCTGTATCATCATACCAGCTACCAGAAGCTGAGAGGAAACAGCTCTCCAAAGCGCGTTTGAATTGCATTTGCATAAGAAAACAAAATAGCACCGCGGATACTACCGAACTCGCAAGTTCTATTTTATACATAGGTTAAATATAATAGGTCTTTTAAAAGACGTAAACATAGTTTGCAAAGATAGAAAATAAATGCAGATGCATTTCCTTTTTGCATAATTTTTTTTAAATTTATTTATCAGCGGAAAATCACATTAATCTATCCAAAGTCCACTGTACTGAATAATAATAACAATGTAATGTTTATATAATGTAATATTCATATAACATATTTTAAATCATTTCAAAAATGAAGATTATATCAGCAGAAAATATGCATTAATATTTTATCGGACGCGAATTGAATTAATTTTTGAATTGCGACATTGACTGTAGTCAATAATAATTCTATAATAGCGAAGAACTTGCGTTATTATTTTACGAGACACACATTTCTAATTTTATGCTTGCTAGAAACTTTAACTTGAATCTAACGGCATTGTATTAGTCTTTATTCCTTATTTATCGAGATTATTACCAACAACAAGGTATAAAACTTCGTATATTCGCTACATTGCAAAATATAGCGCGTTTTACTTTTTTTCGTACTTACTCTTGCTTTCTTTGACGCGTCTATTAAGCTAGTCGATCTTGTGAAACTTATCACGTCGACGTTATGCTAAACTAGAAAACTGTTCGGGAATGTATGTGACGTGAAACGGGATCGCTTTTTGCTTATTCCAAAAAAAGAGTTGCAAACTTTTATGAATTTCTCGACCCAGTCAATTTCATACTTTTGCTTAAAGGCACGAAGTAGAGGTAACAAGTTCGTTTTCACGAAGAATTTAAGTGCTTGCTACTATTTTCCCGAATAGAGAGAACTTTTTAATAAACTTGTTTCAAATCAACTATTCGCAGTTATTGTGTGCGATAATGTAGCTTAAATTAAATATTCTATATAGCACGTAGTAAATAATAATATCAATTTTTCTAGTCCAACATGTTATATCAATTTTTAATCGAAAAATTATAACATTATAATCACTACTAGTACTACTGTCGTTATTATTTTTTTGTTATAAACTGTTTAATATTTCAAACCATATTTCGAGAAGCTGCATATTAAATCACTTTTTTCTATGTGATAACAGAGAGAGCTACCCGACCAAAGAGATAAGCTCCACTTGTCCCACAAACTTACCACATTTTTCTTTCATGCAACCTAGCAATTTAGTTTATCCATATTCATAACATTTTACGAAGATCGGAAAGCGCTCGATCTTCATCACTTTCGCGGCAACTTGAGGCGAAATCTGATTAAAGTCGATCTCCGCCAATGACAGAACACGTCTCTATTATTAAGAACTTCATCTTCCGGAATGACATTTCATCATTTGAAGGTAATCAATTTTATAATTTTGATGCCTCTCTTATAATGATGTTTCTTCCAAATATTAAATTGTCACATTTTAAGCATTCGGAGGAATCACGAAATGAACGAATTTTTTTCAAAACTTTTATATATAGTACATATTCAGTATAAATTTTGTAATTTATATTGAATATGCAAATGTGCATAATAGCATTTCGCAGTAATGCAACAACCGCAAAATAATAAATGTTATTAATACATTATTTGCAACACTGCAGGCCGCGTAAGAGACGCATTTTCTAATTGGCGCTGCATTATCCCGAAACGAAATGCATTATTCATCATGTTAACCGCGACTTATATCGACAGTATCGTTGCTCGTCACAGTTACGCACGATCCGAAGCGGCTTGCGGACGACCGCTTAGCTAAACGATTTCTCCGCAACTTGTCAACGCGATGACGTGCGATCGACGTAGAAACACAGGCATAACACCCCGCATGGGCACTAAGCATGTGAGCGGAAAGTGCATACACGTCAAAGGGAGCTTCGCTATTCGTGTCAATCAGTATCCTACGTGTACACGTACATGTGTCGCGACATGATCGACAAGCGAACAGGAGTCAGTTCACAGGATTCGATAACACACGCGTACAAAGACTCAAGGCAATTCTGTGAGAGGTAAGCTAAATTACAGTCTCAGCACTTGTGCTTAAATTACTCCGTATCAAGCTCTTTTGCTCGCAATTAAAAATTTAAGAGCGTCGGAAAATCGTTAAATCAAACTATACACATAATAATAAATTATACTTTATGAAATAATCTGCGAATTTTTGCGCAAACATTTTTCTTCTAAAAAAACGTAAAAAATTAATGTTCTAATGTGTATGATAAAACTGGCAAAAGAATGATGTTGCTCGTAAGTAGTGCTCCCATAATTCTTTATTTTTACAAATAAAAAGATTATAATTATTATATCATAATTATTTTTACAAATAAAGAATTATAGGCGAAAAAGAAGTTAATTTATTACAGCGAACAATATTTGATTCTCATGTAATTGAACAATTTATAACACTTCGTAGATATTGTAAAATTATAATTTTCAATACGTAATAATCACTATTTAAGCAGAAACCTATTGTACACGCAGTAATCTACTGATTGACCATTAATAATATTAATAATCTCTCTTCATTAATTATTTCTGTCCAATTGAAGCAGGTTTTAATCGCATCAGGTGCGTCACCGCCGTCATAAATTTTAGTCACGATTTTCGCGAATCGAATTAGTCAGAAAGAAAACGCTCAGCAGCAATTTCTGTAAGTGGATTTCCATCTCTGCTAGGAATACCGAAGCTCGTGGGATTACGATCGAGATTCAAGACGTAAGCCGACGCGAGCTCAAGTCAGTGAACTAAATAATGAAATCGCATCTTGCCAGCAAGCTACATCGTCCTTACGAAATTTCTCACTTGGAAATATGCCGTTGATGTTGCACCTAGCTGAGATTTGAATAACGATCGATAATCTTTCTTCCGTTACTCCTCGATCATCTGCATATCTATTGATAAGGGACAGGATCAAAAGATATAATACAAAAGTGATTGGAAATTACTTCGCGTGAAGACATTGCCAGAGAAAAAGAGAGAGAGAGAGAGAGAGAAACATTCATTTATGTCTAAAGACAAAATTCAATAATAATCTCTGAAGAAAATAATTAGATTCAATCTATGAAGTCTTTGGACGGGTGCGATTTACATTATCCGATTAAAAGTATACTTATAATCGCTCGTAAAATTTTTTAATTAACGCGAACTTCATAACTTCGGCCACCGGCAATTAGCATTTTTATCACGATCCACCTCTGAACACTCTATTTGATTTGTGATAAATCAAAGTAGTTATTCTCTCTTTCTATTATTGTTATGAAAACTAAAATTTTTTACATATTTAACGTTAAATAATAATTTATACGCCAGAGAATACATTTAATGAATTTCAATATATCCGATTATATATATGTATAATAAATTTTTGGATTCGTTCAATTACAATGCAATTTATTATAAGATTGGTAGAAATAAATAATCAAATTGAAAATCGCGTGCTTATAAATGAAAGAAAATAGAAATAAAAAAAAATTATTTTTGAATTATCATAACAATGCAATTGATATATTACCTATATATAAACTAAGATCTAAATTAAGTCTCTTAACTAAAACTGAATAAAGAATTAACGAATTTACTAAATAATTTGGGAGAATGTGTTCCCTTACTCCATTTTATCAGCGTAGCGAATTGTGCTTGCAATTTCACGCGGTTTGGGCGCAGCCGGTTCATTTCAATTAACGATAACGTCGTTTTCTAGATTCTACAAAAAAAGGACTAGCTATTGGTATGAGCCTCAGGCATGGTAAAAAAATGCAAACATCCGAGCATAGAATCCGTATCATATAATTTCCAATTAACGCACGAATAACAATAAAATAGATAATATGCTACGTTATCCAGTCTTCACTAAACACGAATTTTCAAGCGTAAAATTGTGCAAAAAATGTTATGTAAAAAATTGTATAAAATAAAATCTTTTACATAATACTTTTTGCACAATTTTACGCTTGAAAATTCGTGTTTCTTCCATATCGATAAATTTTTTCAAATAATTAAATAATTATTAAATAATTATTAAATAATTAAATTATTCTTGTATATATATCGATAAATAATAAACTATTCTTGTATATACAATATATTGATAAATAATTTAAATTACTTCTTTATCTTATTTATGGTAAAAAAATAAAGATTTCGTAATGTCTCTGCCATTTTTTCCTAAGTATTATCAATTTATCCAGATCTTTTGTATTTTCGTTGGTGAAAAGAAGTGAAAAGAAAAAAAAACCAAGAAAAATCTTGTAAGAAAGTATCACGTGCGAATAATTAATAACATTTGTCTTTTCTGCCCACAAATGTTGTATATATGCGTTTATTTTATCATGTTATTATTTTAACATTGAAAACAGAAAAAATACAGATACTGTATAATCAATCGAGCAAGCCAATCTAGCGGATCGAGTCAAAGTTTTGTATGATTCTTCATGACACGGTGCATGGTCGGGACAAAGTCGAGTTACTACAGTGGGTAGGATATAATACCAATATATATATATATATATATATAT